GATTTCAGAGAGAGGGAGAGAGAGAGATAAAAACATCAATGATGAGAGTCGTCTTGGATCGCTGCCTTCTGCACGCCCCCAATTGGGGATCAAACCTGCAACCCGGGCTTGTGCCCTGACCAGGAATCGAACCATGATCTCCTGGATCCTAGGCTGATGCTCAACTGCTGAGCCACGCCCGGTCGGGCATCTCCGCTGCTCTTTTAATGAAAATTACCCCAATTAATTTAATTTTATTTTTTAAATATATCTTTATTGATTTCAGAGAGAGGAAAGGAGAGGAAGAGAGAGAGGAAAGGAGAGGGAGCGAGAAAGACAGAAACATCAATGATGAGAGAGTCATTGATCGAGCCCTCGACCTGGGCATGTGCCCTGACCGGGAATCGAACCCTGATCGCCTGGATCCTAGGTCGATGCTTGACCGCTGAGCCACGCCCGGCCGGGCTACCCCAATTAATTTTAGTGGTTCTGGTTAGTCATTACTCAGTATCCAACCCACTTCTGTTCAACAATGTTTATTGAACTCCTGCAATGCACTGTGCTAGTTGTTTTAGGGACTATAAACTGCCTGTCTTTACGGTGTTTACAGTCTGAATTGTAGGGATAAGACAAATGTACAATGCTAAAATAAGGCAGATAATATTAACAAAATTTAAAAGAAGATGCTATCATGTCTAGTTGGGGTGATGAAGCAGGCTACACAGTGAAGTTATATTTGAGAGGGCCTCAAAGGATGGGTAAGATTTGAAATTCCAGGTGTGCATAATAGCTATCAATGATTGAGTACCTGCTACAAGCCAGGATTGTGCTAAACATCCTCTGCATATTTTCTAAATTTCACAGCAACCATTTCAATTAGGTGTTTTTTAAACTGTGTTTTACTTGCCAATGAGATGAGACTCAGAGAGGTTTGACAGTTTTCCTAGGGCCTCACCAGTAGTTAGTGGTCAGGCTTGAAATTTGAATCTAGGTCTGCTTCTGAAACCCAGATGATTTCTAGTAGTACTACACAGCCTCTTATTGCAAAGGTGCAGAGGTTGGAAGCTACTAACGTATTTCTAGAAAAACAGAAAGATCACTTTGGCTGAAGCACGGGCAAATATTAGGAGGTAAGCCCTAAAAGATAAGGCTGAACTGAGAGGCACTATGGAACAGTGGTTAGGAATGTGAAGTCTGGGGTCAAATTGCCTAGGTTTGATTCTAAGCTCATTCATTTAACTAGCTGTGTGATATTGGAGAAACTTCCAAACCCCTTCATGCCTCAGTTTCCCACCTGTAAAATGCAGAGATAGTAATACTTAGGTAATAGGGTATTTAGGTAAATCGAATAAATTTAACACATGTAAAACACTTGGTAGAGTGCCTGGCACATAATAATCATGCAATAAGTGTTATTTCTTATTGACTACTAAGCTGGGAGGTTTAATAGGCAGCAAGAAGCCAGTGGAAGTTTTTGAGGAAGAAACTTTAAAATCGTGAATTTGACAACATAATAGAGGAAGAATTACCATAGGGAATGTCTGGAATGTAGGAGACCAGTGAAACTATTGCAGTAGTTCTAGGAAGAAGTAATGGGTACCTGGACTACAGCAGGGGCAGGAGACATGAGGATTCCAGAAAGGCAGAATCCTTGAGGGTTTTCAGTGCTTGGGAGGAAGTGTCTTAGATCAGTTTTGCAAACTTTAGTGTGCATAGCAATCATCTGGGAAATCATGTTAAATTGCAGATTCTGATTCAGTAGGTCCAGGATGAGGCCCAAGATTTCTGCATTTCTAACAAGCTCCCCGGTGCTGCTGCTCCCAATAACATTTTGAAAAGCAAGGCAGTAGGCATAAGGGAGGACAGTGATGCCCTGAACAGAAATACGTAAGAAGAGGATGAGGGCCCTAAAAGTTGATAAACTTACTTTTGTACATGTTTTGTTTGAGATATTGGCAGGCCATCCAGTAGATATCCAGCAGGCAGTTGGACCCAGACTTCAGGATTCAGAAGAGGTCTGGGCTAGAGATGTTAATTTATGGAGTCATCTGCAGAGAGTTGGAAAGACAGAATCTTTAGTAATGCCTACCTTTTGCCTGTATATTTAGGGAGCAGGAAAAAGAGCTGTAATAATGGCTGTAGCCTGGGGTCTGTAAGGAAGCTGGTTTCAGGTGAAGGGACTCGCTGGTCACCCACTCCCCACTTCTTAGAACCCCTCTTGGACTAAGCTAGTTCCTCCTTGATGCTGCCCCAACCCCCACCCTTGTTGATTCCTTTCTCCAGGATTTTAGTCCTTAATATAACCCATTTGCTCCCAGCCACTTTCTTAAAGTTGCAGTCCCTGTTTTTACTATGTGTTTTTGGCCCTGCCTCTACCTGCTCCCCTTATTGGCCCAAGACAGACCGCAAAGTGAGCATGTGTGTTTCTGTGCACACATGTACATACATGTGCATGATCCTGCCTGCACAGGGGCAAGGGAAGGGACATGGGGCCCAAGCCATCTTTCATTCTCACTGAGGGGCTAGTCAGGGAGTAGCATCCACTAACTGAGGGCCTGCAAATCCTGTTTGTCTTATCTGGGTCTGGAAGGCCACAGATCCTGGCTCAGCTCAATGAACAATGTCACTAATTCTCTTGGGAAGAGATATTGAGGAAGGGTTGGGATGGGGGATAGGGTGGGAATCATGTGGCAGTTTAGTGACTGCCACTTCTGAAACCAGTTAGGTGGAGTTAGGTCAAACTTCATAAGCCACAGTCTTCCACAAGACTGTCCTCACTTTAGATACCAGCCACAGGTTCAGAGGTTCCCAGGAGCATCCTTACTTCTGACTTACTGTCTACAAATTCAGGGTTCTCTCAATCCCCTCAGTCTCCATAATTCACTAGAATGACTCACAGAACTCAGGACAATACTGTATTTAAAATTACAATTTTATTATAGCAAAAGGATACAGTTAAACCAGCAAAAGATGGAGATACATAGGGTGAGGTCTGGGAGGGCCCTTAACACAAAGCTTCCTTGTCTTCTCACTGGGGACTCAGGACCCTGTTATCCTCCTGATACATCAGAGTGTGGCAACATGCAGAATATTCCTCACCAGGGAAGCTCACCAATGTATCTAGAGTTTTTATTGGGGTTTCATCATGTAGGCACGATGGACTGGATTACTGGCTCCTCCCCTCCCCAGAGGCCAGGTTTATGACATGTTCAAAGTCCCAGCCCTCTAAACTTGTGTTTGGTCTTTCTGGAGTGGTTAGTCCCCATACTGAGTCACCTCATTAACATAAACTATCTAGGGGCCTACCGTAACTCACCTGTTAGCTAAACTATTAGGGCCCACCATGAACAACAAAAATACTATCATTTGGGAAATTCCAAGAGTTTAGAGGCTATGTCCCAGGAACAGGAGACAAAGGCTAGCCAGATTTTTTATTATACAACAGTGACAGAACTGGAAATGACTCCCTGGGAATCATGAACTAACATTTATCTAGCCTCTGTTGTGATTCTGTTGAGTCCTTTACATGTATTAATGCATTTCTTTGTCATGACAACCCTGTGATGATGGTATCATTATTTCAGTTTTATAGATGAGGAAACAGGCACAGAGAGGTTAAGGAATCTGCTCAGTGTCACACAGATAGTAAATGATGGAGCTGTGATTTGAACCCAGACTATCTGGCACCAGGAGCTTGCACTCTTAAGCAAAACTCTCCAAATACA